TTTTATCTATTTATCTATCAATAGATTGATTCAATAGCCGATTGTTGTCATAAGGAATTTGTTGTTGTTGTCGTGGTGTTGTACAGTTATAAGAGTAGGTACCTTACAAGTTGTGAGTATTTAACGGGCCCCCTTGCCGTCTCTTTCTCTATTTATTCTCTACCAGAAGACTACTGGCGGCTCTTTAAAAAATAACGGAATGCGCACATGACGGATGGAGTACAGGGTCGGACTTGCGGAAAAAATTATAGAAAAATCCATATTATTTGAGTATAGAGACATGAATTTTAGGTCTATTTTAAAACATTGTAAAAATTAGCAGTTGTTGAAGTGGGGATTCACAAAAAAATTGGCAAGTGACCGGATTAGGTTTAAAAAAAAAAAAAGACTATTTTCAAAGATCTTTTTTACCACTTTTTTGAGTTTCTCGAATTTTTTAAAAATAGTAAAAATTGAAATTTGGGGATGAGGCTGGTATTTCCTGAAAAATGCAAGTGGGCTAAGTAGAACTCGTGGAAGTACATCGTATTGAAACAGGAAGGAAACAGAAGAGGATCAGCAGGTCAAATGGCTGTATCTTCTAAAATAAATTAAAATTTGAAAAAATCTTCACATACACATATTCTTGAATAGTTAAGCTTTAAAAATTGTCTCTAAAGATATCGATACGATGAATTATACTTCAAATTAATAGTTATAAACATTTTTATAGAAATTTGAAAAATCATAAATGCATAAAACCCTTCAAATCTTTAGGACTTATAAGATTTATTAAATACCAGCTGGCCCGGCAAACGTTGTTTTGCTAAGTGAGGTATATTCCAAACAATTTCTAGAGAATGAAAAATATTAATGTTTTAAGTGTATAAGGATGTGTTGGTGGAATGTCATATACAATGAGGTATTACAAAAACAATCAACCTCATTAATTTGTCTATATTTTGTCAATACAATCAAACTGGAAGTTTTATACACTTTCTATAGAAAACATAGTATAATCCAATTCATCCAAGTTTTTTTTTGTGTTTTGACTTATTGATTACGTTTCAAGTTTTTCAGATTCTTTTTGGGTTCTGGATTTTGTGTATAATTGTAAATAATACTACTGAGCTTATACAAAAATTTCAAATTTCTGCGAGGAGAGATAGAAAATCAATTAAGTATTTCTTATTTGACCTGCTTTTTGAAAAGTTTCCAGTAACATTCGATGAATTAAAGTAAATTTAATGAAAAGTATATATGTAGACCAGAATTAATTTAGTAAATATTAATCATATTATAAAAATCAAACCAATTGTATAACAATAAATAACACATTTCAAACAAACAACGATGAATTCTGGAAAATTATAACTGGGAAAATGTTATTCGATAAAATGTCCCTTTGATCGATAGCAAATTTAGGTTCTGAATTGAAATAACATAAATAAAAAATAATATAACCTAGAAAATGTTTTTTAAATACCAATGAGTATACAATTATTCAAATGAGATCTTTCATAGCACCGTGTTTCAGAAAAATATGGCAAAAAGTGCATTTTCATATCAACATTTAAAAAAAGTTGATATTTTGAGTTTCTAGTAACACTTGCGATCCGTTTAATAACGTTTTTGTGTATAAATAAAACTACAAACAAAACTAATTACTACAATTAAATAATATTCACGTAAAACATCCTATTAAACGTAATTGAACATCATCTGTCAAAAACGTTTGACATTTGACGTATTAGCCACCGTCCTTTGTTTTATTTAAATTACGCTTCTACAAAAATTTTCAAATTAAAAGTGTAAAGTTTCTGAGCGATTTTGAAATATTATCTCAACTTTCCGATAATCTCTGGATTGGCACGAATTTTTCAAGACTAAGAATGGCCAAATCGGTTTAGCCGTTTTCGAGTTTTAGCGGATCATTTTATCGAGGGCTCCATTTTTATATATAAGATAATTTACACTTTGTAAAATTAGAATATATCAATGTTTGGAAATTAAGTAAGGTGTATAGTTTTGCCAAAAGAAAGTGTGGGTCCAACCAGCGTTGTTTCTTATTTTTTCTTCGTATATCGCCAGGTATCTACGATACCTTTCATCTAGGAAAGAATTCTCATCTATTAGTCTTTATCTATTAGTCAAAAACCAAAATTAGATTCCTTAGTTATAGAGCATACTAAATTATATATGCATGATTTTAGTCATATAGATATTAGTAACTGGCTGGAAAGAGTGCCTTTAACCATTTTTAATTGTTTGTACGGAACTGTTGTATCCATTCCCAAGTATCTATTATATTATATGTAAATCAAATAATTATTTATAATAATAATTATCTTTGTTTCGAATCGATATCGTGGTTGGCGTGAATCGCTCCAACAAACCGAAGAATGTGAAATATTATAAGTACCATTGTTGTGTTTGCGGCGAAAGTTGCGAAAACTGTTTTATTTTAATTGCGGATTTAAATTAAGATCACTAGAATTAGACAGAGAGCCAATTAGATAATGATAATAAAGGATTTAGTATTTTTATATCAATAACTTGTGATTGGTTTGAGAAAGGATTCACGGTCCACCCATTGTGAATTTAGAATAAATGTACTGTGTACTTTTTTACTTGACTTCCAATACTTTACATTTGACAAAGTAATGGATCTTGAACAGTTATCAATTAACGAATTTCTTTGGATATGTAAACGTTAAGAATTTTAGACTTCATTCTAGATTTTTTTGTAATAGATTTATTTAGCAATCAAAAAAATTACAATATGTTACTTAAAATATATATTTTAATGATTGTAATTATATATTATCTAGGGGCCATTTTTTATTTAATCTCGAGGTAGCTATAGTAGATTTTAGATTATACAAATATGTCTATTGTATTTAACACATATAATAGTGGTCCGAGTACGCTGCCCTACGGAACACCTAATTTAGAATTCATATTTTCATCTAACCTTGCTGAATGTGGTATTTTCTGTTCAATCTCTATCTTTTTTATCTACATTTCTAATAAAGGCTGATTTGTAAGAATTATAGTATTAATATTAGATTTTTGGTACTAATCTCTTTACTTTAATATGGCATTTGATATGATTAACATTTTGCTTATTACAAAAAAGTTCTCATTAAACTATTTGATCTTACGAGAAGCAAGTATTACTTATGCTTATTCGAGAGTTTATTTCTTAATTTGAATAATTATTTGGATAACAGTTTAAAAATAATTAATTTGATATATTTATACTATATATCAATTATCCATTTAATAAATAAAGTAATATGTGTATTTTTACCACGTCACTCTGCAAATCGATATCATCAATTATTCATCGATATTTTCCTTTTATTTTCAGTACAAGAACATGTTTTTTTTCTTTCAATAAAAATAGAATAAATATTCTAAATGCGATTAGAAAAATGCTCGTTATTTTATATTTGTGTATTTGTCTTTGCCAAACAAATTACTGAATATTTTCCATCGATTTTGTCGTTATGCAATGAAAACGTGTATCTTAATACATACATCATATTATTTAAATAGACGCAAATGAATTTAAATACATTTATATATAACAATTTAATTTTGCTGTTTTTGAAAATATTTGCAATAGAGTACTAAGAATTTATTATTTAATTTGTATTAAACTGCAAACATCTATTATATTGGATTATATAAAAATGAAGCAGATACAGGAGGGCAGTATACAAAACTATTTATATTCTAATTCTAATTTTTTCAAAATTATGTCTTCGAATTAAATTTAAGGAACAATTTATGTGCGATTTATTCTCTTGCACCTGAATCCACTTTCCCTCAACAGTTTCTATTAAAACTTCAATATTGTTGTAATTTAATTATAAATTTAATTAATATTCTTTAAATTCCATTATAAATGAACTGGATTTAATAAACATTACAAATATATGTGTGAAGTAACAAAGTTGAAAAAAATTATCAAAAATTTCCTTACCATGTGCTATAAGATTATATTTTAACTCCAAACGAACAAATTTTTAATTGCTTAATAATAAATGTTGAAATTAGTTGATACTAATTGTTTAGTTGAATAATTATATTTTAATAAGATATTATAAATATATTTGTGTGTATATATGTACATTTTATAAGTATATTTATAATGAAATACCAGAAATGATAAGAAGCTCATACGGTACTTGATAATTATATTTACATTGTATGAATTATACTGTAGTCTTGCTGCAAAATATTTAAATACCCATTAAATACACAGATAATATTTAAATATATATATATATATATATATATATATATATATATATATATAAATAAAGAAAAGCAAAAGCAGGTCCATGAATAAATAATCTGCATGAAAGTATCACTTATTGAATTAGAAAAATGTCATAAAAAATTCTGAAAATTATGAATTTGAAAATAACTAAAAGAGAAAATTAATATTAAAATAAAACAAATATTGTCAAAAAATAATAAAAAGAAAATAGCTACAAAAAATATAGAGTAAATGATGGTTATTGTTAGATCAGTAAATCAATATATTAAAAAGAGCATTATTACGATCGATTTATTACTATATAAATCGACTAATAAATCATATGTCACACACAGTAGATCCAGATGTGATTAAAATGAATACATAATATAATTTTGAAAAATTATTAAGAAATCTTAACAGATACTGCGTTGTGGCCAGTTTCAAAGTTTATACAAAAAAAAAAATGTCGACGTACCAAATTTTAAATTTATTCAGGATATATATTTGTCAATATATATTTCATGAATTTTCTTGAATTATTTTTTTATAGTATTAAAATTATTTCTAAAATATTGATACTAAATAATAGATCCATATTCAAGTTTGTAACTTGCTCGTACATTTACATAGCGAATGGTTTTATTTATTATTATTTTTTAAAATAATTTCTATATTTTATAATTGGAATGTAAATAATTCTGTAATCAATATAATTGTTTAATGTTATTTATTTTCTATTATTCCTCAGGAGTGACAATGCGGGAAAAGAAGAGTGGAGCGCTTTCGCGGGTGCAGAAGTTGAAGAAGAGGCTTTCCCATAGCTTCGGTAGATTATGTAAGTTGAAAATTATAAATTTATATATAACTAGCCGGCCCGACAGACTTCGCCCTGTCAAAAAAAATTGTAATGTGGCGGTGTTTTGTGCCTACCTTTTTTCTATTCTTTGCAAAAAATTATCCTGAACAGAACCGTCACCCTGGTAATAATTCGGTGTGAATTAAAAATAATTAAATAAAACACTATAAGCATTTGAAAGTAAGTAATTTTAATAATGTAAATCACAATTCAAAAATCAGTTCAATTTTCATTGTAGTGCTTTGTGATAAACGATGTTTTTTGTTTGATTTCCTGGCGCATGGACAAACAAATCTGATGGTTTTCCAATACGGGAACAAACAACATACAATTTTCCATGTGAGAAACATGGGTTTTCTAAATTAATACCACAAACAGTTAATTGTACTATAAACGCACTGGAAACGCATTGGGATGCATGGTGCGAGAACATCTTCTGCTTTATACTATCCTTTGAATATAGTTGGTCGATTTTTTGCAACATTATAATTGCCGATCCAACCTTTAATTGAAGATTGTGAGGTGACAATCCTAGCAAATCCAGCAAGTTTAAAAACTCCGGTGGATCGTTTTGGTTAGTTGCCGAATCAACTGATTCGCCTGTAATTTGTTCTTGAATTTTGAAATTTAATTAATTTACGTCAATGTTTTTGGCTGTCAATAAAGCTTGATTAATTGAAAGATATTTCTATGTTTATATAAATATATTCAAAATTAGATTATCAAAAACTACACAAAATGTCATGACATAGATCATTGTTTACAAATTGCATTGCCTACTCGATTAAAGAAGAAAAGGGCTGTTTCTAGGGTTTTCCCGGCAATTATTCGATTTTTTCTCGCCGTAAGAACCATCCTTGTACTTCAACGAATATTTTAAAAAAAAGAATTGGCCAAATTGGTCCAGGCGTTGTTGAGTTATGCGCTTACCAACACATTTTGCGATCCATTTTTATATATAAGATTATATTCTAGGATAAGATTGTCTTAGAATAAGATTATACTTTGTAATCTTAACTTATAAAATAAAGATTTTCTCGAATGGTCGATTATAATAGCATACTACAAAATAAATCATGTAGGGCATCCTTTCTTTTGCAAAAATGGAGCAACTAATATAATAACTAGGTATCAGTGAGAAAATTATAGGATTGATCAGTTAGAACGTCCTGCTCCAAAACATCACTTTTATTAATGGTAATAATATAGCAATCAAGTATTTACAAATTTTTACCAATCAGTATGATTGAGTATCCAAAAATTTCAAGAAATTTTAAAATGTTCAAAACAAAATCTAAAAATATCTGAATTTACAAAAAAATTCAAGTAGCTCAAAAAATTTCATAATTTTTGAAGATAATTGTTTTCAATCCTTTCAAAAAATATCCGAATGTTTCAAAAATGTTCGAAAAAAATCGAAATTTGATAAAAGACGAATCGCACGTGGGGGGAGGGATCTATCACGTAGTTAACTTTTACCTAAATTTTCAAAAAAATAAAAAATATTACGAATTTTTTTGTAAATTCGAAAATACAAGTGATGTTCACATACAGGGGAAGGGGTTAAAAATTTCCTAAAAAATCGTTCACGTGATTAATGGACGCCCCCTAAGCTGACTTAAGGGGGTATTCTAGGGTAGAGCGATGAATTTTAGGTCATTTTTAAAGTATCGCAATGAATGTTTTTACCATCCATTTTTTACAACTTGTTTATTAATACTATTAAAATACAATACAAAAATTTTAAAAAAAGTTGAAAATTGAAGAAACTGGCAGCTGTTGTAGTAGGGGTTCTCAAAAAATTGGCACCTCAGTCTTGATATGATTTCAGCCCTCCTAGCCTAAGATTATTAATCTACAATGATGTCGTAATCGCCCGAACTAGCGATGAGTAAAAAGTTTTTTTTTTACAAATTGGCGACTGTTTGAAAAAAAAGTGCTTTTTTATTGTTTTTTGAGTTTATCGATTTTTTTAAAGATAATAAAAATTGGAATTTGGAGATAATCCTAGTTCGAGCTATAGATAGATATAAACAAAACTCTCTGAACATTTCAAGTGAATCGGTCGATTAAAACTCGAGAAATCGTGTCAACAGTACTGAAAAAGTCTGTTCTGAGAAAAACGCATTTAAAGTTTTGCGTGAAGCCAAACCAGTTTGGAGACGGAGTCAGCAAAATGCCTATATCTCCGAAAATAATTCATATTTTTAAAAACCTTTTCGTACCCATATTCTTAGATAGCTAAACTTTGAAAATATGAAATAAAAAAAAAAATCGATTTTTTTTAAATTCTACACTAGAATACCCCCTTAATAAAACAAAAAATTAGCGAATTGGTTCCTCGAATAAGACTTGTTTCCTAAGGTCTTTTTTCGTTCTCTTCAGTCTAAGATTATATTCGTATATATTTATATATTACGTTAATTCAAATTTATATCCATAATAATGTGTGCTGTGTTGTGTATATATATATATTGTTGTGTTGTGAAACTGGAAAGTGTCGTGGGTGCAATAATCTCCTATATTTATATTTATATATTTTTTCAACTTTATCTGCTACTCTCGACCGGTCGGGCGTGGGTTCAGAAACTCATACAAACGTTTGCACATTTGCACAATTTACATTTTATTATAAAGATACAGACACTAACAAATGTTAAAAATGACTCACATATTCAAATGACCACTGAGACACCAACAGATTGCCATAAAACAAGTTTTTTGAATTAGTTGCCCTATATACATAGAGACAATATTAAACTATATGTATATATATATATATATATATATATATATATATATATACATATACATATATAAATTTCCTCAGAGTTCACACATTTGGTCTATATTTTTTGATTCCACTGATGATGACATAACATTTTACTTCTAAATGTATGGAATAATATAAGAGCATTCCCAAAAAAAATAGAATTTTTATGTAAGTATTCCCCTATTTCCTACATATATATATATATATATATATATATATATATAAGATGCTATTCCATGGCGTAACGTTAAGCGCACTGCTTTGAGTGGACTTAAAATAGTTACATTATTATTATTAAAATAGTTATTTTAAGTAGATGACGAAAGAAAAGGTTATTATTATCGATCAATCGAACAAACTATAATATAAAATATTTTTTTTTTAAAAATATCAATCAACTGTATAAATCTGTTCAGGAATATAAAGTTGTAAATTCTCCGAAGTCGAAAGACTAAAACTATTTATTATATAGTTTTCAACGACGACCTTTCTCTATTCTATATAAAGATGTATGCACACTCATTTGAATGAAATCTTTTTCGAAATTGAAATTCACAAGAAACGATTCTGACTAATGCAATTTTACTATGAAAAAGATATATCACACCACATACATATAAATATATACATACATATAAATATATACATACATATAAATATATGGGACTATTCATATATAATTAATAAATGCATCACAAAGTTTCTGAGAGAAATATTCAAAGAATGCATCATAATTTCCTATGAGAACTTAATGAGGAATCAAAAGCAAATGGTAATTTATTTCCACCATAATAAATTTATTTGATTGATCAAATTAAGTCTTATTAATGTCTTTATATTATTTAAATAAGACTAATTCTATTATTTCTCAGATGAGTTTTCTACCCACTGTTCAATTTTTTTAAAATAAACAAATTCAGTATTTACCTTTGAATAAATGAAATTACATATTATCTAAATTGACAACAATTTTACCCAAAAATAATACTTGAAAGAAGATTGTTTGCAAAATCACATTTTATAATAAATACAAAAGCGAGTCATACAATCTTTTATTCCATAAATTTCAAACATAATTAATTTTTTAAATAGAGCTATAATATAAAATCTAGACATAAAATTAGTCTAAATATTTCTTCACAATTTCTAGTTCATTTTCATACTGATATAATTTTTAGTGAGTATAGAATTTAAATTTTAGTGAGTTTTTATTTAAAAATTTAATTGTTATACGCCAAAGATGCAAACGTGATTTTTTTTAGTTTGCAAATAATTACATTTAATTTAATTAAATTAATTTGAATAAAAATATTTAAAAGTTGTATACATGTATATAAACGTTTTATTTCTTTTGTTTTTAACCGTTTCTGAATAAGATGTTCTATACACCCGAAACGTAAAAATAATTATAAATGAAAAAATGATTAAATTTTAATTTAATTTTTGATTAAAATAAATTGAAGAAAAAAGATCAATACAAGTGGACTCTTAATTGTCCATAAAATCCAATTTTTTGTTGATTTTAATAAAAACCATAGCAAAGCGTGGCAGGGTATGCTAGTATATATATATATATATTATATATATATATATATATATAAATATATAAATGGAGCAAAAAATTGAGAGATTAAAATAATGTGTGGTTAAACTGCATTCTTGTTGAGAAAGACATTTATAAGTTATGCAATGCAACTGGATTACATTTAAAAGAGTTTGTCATATCGAAATACAAACACACACACACACGCACATATATATATATATACTTGTATATTTATATTGTTTCTTACTAATTTGAAATGTAAATTTGGCGATATGTGACTCGCGATCTTATTTGCAAAACAAATTCAGATCTTCATTAAGTGGTATTTTTTAATAAACGCATAACATTTAACACCTTTGCTACCACAT